GATTTGGCCCTTCAATCTTCCAGTGACCTTGACTTGAATTGATTAACGTTAATCCGAAGGTTTGGCACCGTTATCTCGGATGGAATGCTGGATTTGATGAAGAATGCCTTGAATTTGCTCAAGAACACCTCGAATATGACGAAGAACACTTTGAATGTAGAGAGAAAATCTTACCTCCTACGAATTCTTCTTCCTTGCTTCTTGAATTGTAGAGAGAATTTTGCTCCTACGGTTTCTGCTCCTTCAGTTGTGTTCGAATTGTGAAGGGAGGGTCCCTATTTATAGTTGTAGAACAAGAGTCCTTGATGGGCCTTCTTGATGATGTGGTACGATTTGATTGGCCTGATTTAAATTGATATTTATCTCTTGTAACTTGGAAGAGAAGAAATAATCCGATTGGCCAATAATTAATTGATATTTATTTCTTATAACTTGGAAAAGAAGAAATAATTATATTCGCCAATATATATTAAAATCAATTATCTATTTAAATTAAGAATTTATTTAATAATTAAATTCTTAATATTAAAATAGAAAACATATAATTGATATTTAATATATATAATATACATATGATTTTTGCGCATTGATATATAAATGACTTTGAATGCCGGCTCTATGGAAATTAGCAATTTAACTGCTTGAAAATTTGTTCGTCTACAAATGCCCCCTCGAGACTTGTTCGCGGACAATGCGTCTTAAAGTGAATAAGTCACGAATATATCGAATATATTTGGAGCTTTTCATGATTTAATAACCCCTCACGTGCCTACTCTCGGGCCTGTAGTCCCGAGAATATATGTAATTTTGAGCCCAAATTTTTTCTCTGGTCAATGTCGGCCCACCAATTGCTTTATGCCTATTTTGAAGTTCAAATTTTGAATTTAGACATATTCGTTTCTTGTGATGAGTCATCAGATTTCCATAATAAAATAAAATAAATAAAAATGCCCTTATTGAAAGTAGCTAAACAAACTTGCATACTAGCATGCCCCATATCAACAAAAGCAATGTTCAACGGCTTGGAATATCATAAGCTAGGGCCCACTCAAAACCAAGTACAATGAGAGAGTCTATATGGAATTATAATTGCAACCTGATTTCCGTGTGGAGAGAAAATCACAAACTGCGGACGTATTATTCATGTAAAAGGACTCTTCTGCAACTTGATTTTCCCAACTCAAACACGTATTATCCTTCTCCCAATAGATTTCTAACTCCTTGTGATTGGATAATCTCAATCCTAATATCAATAGGATAGTTATTTTCCTAGCTTATAAAAGGAGGTGACCCTTACTAGTTTTTTCATTCATCAGCTTCAGTCATCGACCCTCTTGCAGCAGGATTTTTTAGCTTCATCAAATTCAGCCTTTTGTTAATTTCTTTTGCTCGATTTCAGGTCAGTTCCATTGAAAAAAAAAATGTTTCCCTTTTTTTTTTTTTGACACTTAAACGTGCTTTTGATTCCTTTCTTTAACTCACCGGTCCTCTTTTCTTCGTTTTAGGTTTGTCCATTGGGTGGTTTTAGCACGATTCTTTGCCCTCGCTCTTTTTTTTTTTTTTTTTTTTTTATTTTATTTTTTATTTCACCACGTCGAACTTATCGCTCTTTCTTTGATCTGTTTTGATAGATTTTTCGATGGTTTGTTTCAAGCAAGCTTTCTCTTCTTTAGGCGACGAGCAATTGGTAATTCTTGACGATCGTTACCAACCGAACGACAAAGGAACCATCTTGACGATTTATGCCCCCCTTATCGGTTCTTACGCAAAGCAATGGCCACGTCTCACGACTCCGAATCGCATGTCCGTTTGGTCCCACGAGCATCCTCATAATAAGTACGAGTACGTGTACAGTTTGCGAGCATCAAATCATAAACCCGACAGATCCTCGCTTCCGGAAGAGTCAAGCAGTCCGAGCCTTCTGCCGACTTTGGGTGGCAACATCGTGAAAGGAAAAGTCAAGTGGGGAGATACTCTCGAGCTTTCCGGCGGCTTTCAGTTCTTCAGAGGGTACTGGGAATGGACCGAAGACGTTCTCAGCCGTTGCCAGCACAAGCTAAAGTCTGCGAAGATCTATGATTCTGTATATGCCTCCCTCTTCACGTACGACTACAACTCTGAAATTATGAAGGCGTTCTTCGAGGCATGGTGTCCGCTACAAATACCCTCTTGACGTCTCCTAGAGAAATGTCTATCTCTTTATGGGATTTGCACATCCTCTATGGGCTACCGTTAACCGGGCTCTTTTACGATGAAGTTGTCCCTGCCTCTCAAGAACTCGTTGGTTCCGATGCAAAGGGTGTTCGATATTCTCACCGTTCCTGCCGACATCTATTCTATGCCTACCACTTACTTCGGAAGCGCTCTGAAGGTCCGTCCTCCAATGTCTCTGTCGAAAGCTGGATTCAGTTTTGGTCGAAGAAGCAGAAGAAATACACTCAACCTCCTCCGCGCAAAGAAAAGAAGGGTGTTCGCCCCAAGTCAACTCACAATCCTTCCGGCAATATTGAAGTACATGCAAAATGGATCAACATTGAAGAAGTTGTGTTTTCGAGCATTAGCGTTGATGTCGAACTGAGGTCCGAGACATACTTGGCGGCCCATTTGGCTTGTTGGCTTTGCACCTTCGTTCTCCCCACTGATGATGTAGGCATGATACGTCCTTCAACGTTTAAGATGGCTAGCATAATGGCGACTGGCGAAGAAGTCTCTCTTGCAGTTCCTGTCTTAGCAAGCATCTTCAACGGCATAAATAGGATTTCGAGATCCTTGAGACCCCATCAAGAGAACTCTCCGTTTCCTATTCACTTCGTCTATAGTTGGTTGGCGCTTTATTTCAAGACCCATTGTCAAGTTCTGCAAGGCGTAGCCGTCGATGGCCCAAAGATGATATCTTATTACGGAGAAGGAAGCGCTAGATACTACACTCCCGCGGATGCACGCAAACGGATTCATAAAGGAGATCTTATGTCTTGGACTTGCACCACGATCTCTAGGAGCGAGTCTTCTTTATATATTGATGATGGAACAACAAAAGGGTCCGAGAGAAATTATTTCATCGCCATTCGCTCGAGCTATCTCTCCTTGCAGCGTGGTAATCGTCTCGTTATTGAGCCATATAGTGCTCATCGGTTTAGCCGTCAATTTGGGTTTTACCAAGATATGCCCGAAGTACTTGATGAAGACGTTCGCGAGGCTTCTTTAATAGATGGACTTCGTTATTGGCGTCTATGTGTTTTGCTTGAATCCATGTCTAAAGTGATATTTTCCATCGTTCCTCAAAATCCGAGAAAGTTTCACACGGACGGCTATAAGATATGGTGGACTAAAGCTTACGGAACTTATCTTGAAAATAAAGCTGCGAGTCTGAAGAACTTGGAGTTAAGTAAGATTCCACTTGAAGACCAAGAAGATGAGGCAAGAAATAGTCTCGGCAATCTTTCTCGCGAAAATGTGCTCCAAACAAAAAACCCTTCTAGCGATATAAAGAAGAAGAATGTTTTGCCTCCATCGGATGAGAGTGACGATAGCCATATAGAACGTCATTGGAAAAGGCCGAAGAGGGACCCACAATCTTCAAAACCACAAGATCTTCATATTGATAACAGCGTGGACAGTCGTTCTCGAACAAATGACGTTTTTGCTGAGAAGGTTGCACTTAACACTTTTTCTTTCTTTTTTTTTATTTTTTTTTATTTTTTTATTATTTCGTCTTAATGATTTTTTATTTATTTGGAAAACGAGATAATTAACGTTGATGATCGCGAGGAATCTCAAGCTAGTCATCACTCAACTACCAAGGCTTGCTCAATGGGTGTAACTTTGTCGCCGACTGCTTTGATGCCTGCCAGAACATCCAAGATGAAAGAGACTGCGAAAGGGTCGTACAATGGTGCTTGTTCAGTTTTTGTGGGTGAAAGTTTTCTGAAAAATCACAAGCGGGTTTTTCTTCGCCAATTATGGCAAGATCTTCGTGCGAGGATAGTACGGACTTCAATTGATTCCATCTCGTCTATTCAAGAAGATGTCCAATTTGTTCTTGGAACCATGAGGGATCTTGGTGATTTCGACATATCTTGCATAGAGGAATTATTGAAGTCATTATTTTCCCAGGCGACGACTTATGATAAGGTGAGGTCGTCGAACTTTGAGAAGGCATCTAAAGAGATTCTATCACGACAATTAGATGAGGCAAAAGATCGTTTGCATACTACTCAAGCTAGAGAACACAAAGAGACTCTTCAAGTTCAAGTCACCAATAATGATTTGGAGAGTGTCAAGAAAGAGCGTGCTGCTTTGAAGGTGAGGGTGGGACAGTTGAGATCATCATTAAAGCGACAACGATAACTCCTTCATACTGTTCAAACTGAAATTCGTGAGATTAACGAAGAGATTGTTGCCATTGAAAATACATCCCCTTTAAGTGATGATTTGGTAGAAGAATTGCGCGCTTCTGCCGAGCTTCTAGAAGATGCCAAAGAAAAGTTGAACGATTTAGACCCTTTCGCTTGAGCTAGATTTAGATTTTTTTTTTTTTTTTGTTTATTTCACTTTTATGACTCATGAAATAAAAAAAAAATCTCCTTTTCCATCTTGCTCCCTTAGTATTCTGCACTTGTATTATCAACATTTTTTTTTTTCGTAGGAAAGGACTGAACTTAGAGAATATCCAAGCTGCCTACGTACCCCGAATGGGATCAAGTCATAACGTAGTTCAAAGAAAAAAGATAGATTTTTTTTTTTAGGAGATGACTGAACTTAGAGAATATCCAAGCTGCCTACGTACCCCAAATGGGATCAAGTCATAACGTAGTTCAAAGAAAAAAGACAGGTTTTTTTTTTTTTTTTTTTTTTTTTTAGCCGTACACAGTTTCAACTCATGAGGGCCAGGAGCCTTCTCCTCCGCTTCATGCATAGTACCGCTTCAAGAACTTTCCATTTATCGGACCAATTCTTAAACCACCTTCGGCAACCAACTTGTACGCTCCATTTGTGTATGCTTATTTGACGACATAAGGACCATCCCACTTTGAAGTAAATTTATTTCCCGTTTTATGAGTGACGATGATGGGCCTCCTTACGGCAAGTACCAAATCTCCAACTTGAAACGATCTTGGCCGCACCTTCTTGTTAAACGCCCTAGAAAGATGAGCTTGGTAGCATTCAATACTTTGTTGTGCCTCTATTCTTTTCTCGTCAAGAGCTTCCAATTCTGCAAGACGCAAACGAGCGTTTTCTTCTTGAGTGAGTTCTTCTTGTATAACTATCCTCAATGATGGAATTTGTTTTTCAAGAGGCAAGACTGCTTCCACACCGTACACCAACGTATATGGAGTGGCTTGAGTAGGTGTTCTATACGTTGTTCTATAAGCCCATAAAGCTTCTCCTATTCTTTCGTGCCAATCGCGTTTTGACTTGGCGATCACTTTCTTCAGCAAATTACATAAAGTCTTATTGAAGGCCTCGGCGAGTCCATTGGCGGCAGCGTTGTACATTGAAGATTTTCTTTGCTTGAAGCCAAACTTTTCACAAAGTTTATCTATCACACCGTTGCAGAATGGCTTTCCGTTGTCTGTGATCATATATCGAGGAACTCCGTAACGGTAGATGATGTTGATGCGGATAAAATCGGCAACATTCTCCTTCTTTACTTCTCGAAGAGGCACTGCTTCAGCCCATTGGAAAAGTAGTCTGTTGCTGCCAAGATATAGAGATGTCCAGCGGAAGACTTTGTCATAGGTCCAACCACATCCAAACCCCAAGCATCAAAGGGCCATGAGGCAACAGTATGGTGTAATGGCTCCGGCGGTTGATGAATAAAGTTTGCATGAAATTGACAAGGTTGACATTTTTGGGCATACTCCATGCAATCCTTTACCATAGATGGCCAATAATAACCCATTCTTTTTATTCGGAAATGTAATTTGGGTCCTGACTGATGGGCGCCGCAAATTCCGGAATGAGCTTCTTCTATGGCTTGAACGGCTTCGTCATCACCTAAACATCTCAAGAAGACTCCATCAAATGAACGTCTGTAAAGTGTATCTTTGTAGTAGATGAAACGAGCCGCACGACGTCGTATATCAACTCTTTGACGTGGATCATTAGGCAACTTTTCGTACTTCAAGTAATCCACAAATGATTGACGCCAATCTTCTTTCTCGACTTCAAACACGTAAACCACTCGAGTTTCGTCTTCTTCAATTTCTTCATGTTCAAAGATTGGTGGTACGACCCACCTCTTGAAAATTGGTATACGATTTCCGTCTTCGGGCATGGCTAAAGTAGAAGCAAGTTTTGCCAATGCATCTGCTAGTTTGTTATGCTTTCTTGGCACATGCTCTATCGTCACATCACCAAGGTATCCGATAAGTCTTTTAGCATAATCCACATAAGGGAGTAAATCGAGCTTCTTTACTTCGTACGATCCGAGTATCTGATTGATCACCAACTTGGAGTCTCCATATACCTCCAAATTTAGTTGCTTTATATCAACTGCCATTTCTAGCCCAAGGATAAGAGCTTGATATTCAGCAACATTGTTAGAGCAATTTTGTGTTAAGGTAAAAGAGTGAGGCAACACTTCGCCGTTGGATGTGACAAATACTACTCATGCGCCAGCTCCTTCTCTGTGAGAAGCTCCATCAAAGTACATCTTCCAGGGAGGACTAACTTCAATCACAAGAACATCTTCATCGGGTAAATCGTCGGATAGCTCCCACTCTGCAGGGATAGGGTGATCTGCCAAGAAATCGGCTAGAACTTGTCCTTTCACAGCCTTTTGTGGAATATATGTTATGTCAAATTGCTGCAATTGCAGGTACCACCTTGCGAGTCTGTCGGATAGGACGGGTTTTGACATGACATACTTTAGAGGATTCATCCTTGAGATCAGACGGACAACATGTGCTTGAAAATAATGCTTCAACTTTTGAATTGCAAAAATGAGCGCTAAGCATGTCTTTTCGATTGGCGAGTAGTTCAATTCATTTGGTGTCATTGTTCTACTCAAGTAGTATAAGGCACTCTCTTTTCCATCATCATTCTCCTGGGCTAGTAAAGCTCCGACAGATCGTTCTTGAGCAGCAATATAGAGTATTAACGATCGTCCGGGCACTGGTGCAATCAACACAGGAGGCTTCGTTAAATATGATTTTATACTTTCAAAGGCACTAGTGCAAGCTTCATCCCATTCAAAGGGAACATTTTTCTTCATGAGTCGGCTGAATGGTTGACATCGACCGGCTAAGTTTGAAATGAACCTTCTTAGGTATGCCAACTTTCCTTGCAAACTTTTGAGTTCATGAATGTTCCTAGGCTCGCGAATCTTTAAAATTGCATCAATCTTGGCTTGTTCGATTTCTATGCCTCGGTGACGAACTACGAATCCAAGAAACTTCCCCGAAGTAACACCAAATGCACATGTCAATGGATTCATCTTCAATTGGTACCTTCTCAAGCGCTCGAAGACTTTTCTCAAATTTTGGAGATGATCTTCCCTTCTTTTGGATTTAACCACCAAGTCATCCACATAACATTCAACATCTTTATGGAGCATGTCATCAAATATCTTCTGCATGGCTCTTTGGTATGTAGCACCGGATTTTTCAAGCCAAATGGCATCACTTTATAGCAATAGATGCCCTTAGGAGTGCGAAAGGCTGTTAATTCTTCATCTCTCGGCGCCATACGTATTTGATTGTATCTGGACGATCCATCCATAAATGATAATGCTTCGTGGCCCGTAGTAGCATCAATCATTAGTTCGACTATTGGCATTGGAAAGTCGTCCTTAGGGCATGCTTCGTTCAAATCTCTAAAGTCAACACACACACGAATTTGTCCATTCTTCTTTCTAACAGGGACGATACTTGAAATCCATGTTGGGTATTTTACTTCTCAAATGAAACCAACCTCAATAAGTTTGTTCACTTAAGCCTCAATTGCAGGTACTAATTCAGGTCTAAATCTACGTTGACCTTGCTTCACATGGCGAGCTCCTTTCTTCACGGAGAGATGATGTATTGCCACTTTTGGGTCCAATCCGGGCATTTCTTTATAAGACCATGCGAACACATCCTTGAACTCGTGCAACAATTCAACATAAGTCTCCTCTTCATTCATAGTCAATAAGGCGCTAATGTAGATTGGTCGAGGATTCTCTGTGTCTCCTACATTTATTTCCTTTATATCATCGATCGTGGCTTTGACTCCTTCTTCAAGCTCGGGTGGACCAGTTTCAGCGTCTTCTTCCTCAATCGTGTCTATCTCACTTAAAGTGATATGATACGATGATGCCACACTTTCTCTGTCATCTTCCTCGTCGTCTTGGATTTTTGTAAAGACGAAAGTTCGCATTTTAGCCTTCAACTCTTCACCACATGATATGGTCAAATAAGTACGCCGTTTCATGCGAGATGGAATCAAACTTCGAATCCTTCGTGTTTTGGTGATTTTAGTATTAGAGACACCCAACTCTTGCTTGTTGCTTCTGTTATGCCCCCACTTTCTAAGTGGTCCAAGCCTACCAAAAACGGATGGCGTAAGTCTATCAAACCCTTGTTTGTCGTCTTTCTTATGCCCCCACTCTCTAAGTGGTCCAAGTCTATCAAAGACGGATGGCGCAAGTCTATCGAAGACGAATGTCCTTCTCACTTTTGTTCCACTTTCAAGAAAATCGTCTGTTGATGAGAATTCGTCTTCGATTATGTAATTACTGGTAGCTCTATTGATAGCAATACGAATTGGTTTTTGTGGAACAAATCCAAGACCAACTCGAGGACTTTGAATAGCATGTCCCTTTTCTTTCAACATTATCTGAGTAGTATTGAGGCCATGCATTCTTTCGCCAACAACTTCGGCAGAAAGTCTTCCCAGTGTAGAATCTTCACATGGGTTGTAACCGGATTTCACTAAGAGTTTATAAGCTTTTGGGCCAAAACATTTTGTCATTTCGGACTCGGAGAATTCTTCGCATTCTTCTTGGGTTCATTCTGTAGGATGAACAAATCATTTAGGTGGTTGAGAAGTTGATCGCTTCTCGTCAATTGGTGTTAGGGGAAACATCAAATCTTTCAAAGCCTCACACGCTAAAGGAGCCTTGTCTTGATTATTTCTTCGGTTTGGTTCTTCAACTGGTAGAATTTCTTTGGCCTTTGCCGTTTTCTCATCATCAAGATAGTACTTAGCATCGGCAAAGTGGGCTTCTGCCTCGGTGAACGGTTTATCATCGGCGAGTATTATTTTAACTACTCCGTCTTGACAATACTTGAAACATTGGTGCCAAGAAGAAGGAACCACACTATTCTCATGTATCCAAGGTCGCCCGAGAAGCATGCGATATGAGGTTCTTGCATCAATGACATGGAACAGTGCAGTGGACAACATATCATCCATTAACAACTCTATCCTTATGATACCAAGGGCCCTTTGTCCTTCTTGATTAAATCCTTGGATCATCAAGCGACTAGTTTTGAGCTCCTCCGTGGAGATCCCCAATTCCTTTAAAGTGTGCAACGGCAAAATATTGACTGCAGAACCTCCATCGATTAAAATTCTATTCACCTTCTGCTCACGAGCATAGCCAGCAACAAACAATGGCCTATTGTGTGGTTTGGAACCAAGAAGTAAATCTTCATCAGCGAAAGTCATTGTTGACATGCATTTACCAATCACGGTACAAACTTCATTTGAAGACGGAGTTGTTCCACTAGCAGCGATCTCCCTTTCAATTATCGTGTTACATGAGATGTTAATACGATCATCATCTTCTTCGTGTACGTTCATTGTCGTCATGTCAAGGGACTCAAAAATGCTGACGTTAAAGTTTGTATTGGCGCTGATCTCTTCAAGTGACATCTTTCCTTGGCGAGCTAGCTGCATAATTTTATCTTTGAATACGAAGCAATCATGAATTGGGTGCCCAACCAACCGATGATACTTGCAGTATTTTGGGTCATCGGTCTTGCTAGCTTCTTTGGGGCGCTTCATTTCAGGCAACTCGATAAGTTTTAAACTTAGCAAATCGTCAAATATTTCAGCCACGTCAGTGTCGAGGAACGGGTACTCCCTTGCTTGCATTTCTATGAGGGTAAGTCTTCTTTCTCTTCTTTCTTGAGAAAAATCTTGTTTTTCCTCATTGTTTCCGTTCATTTTTCCTTGAAATTTGATAGGGGTTGCATTCACTGCCAAAGATTCTTTACTTGAGGTCTTAGAGAAAACTCTACCCCCCTTCCGAAAGTCTTGTTTTTCTTTCGACTGTCGAGGCTCTTGAACTGGTGGTCCCTCAACTCCACTAGCCATAATGCTCAACTCCATATCGTGCGTTCTAGTGGCCAACTCTTCAAAACTCTTAGGTTGAATCCCTTGCAGGATATATCGGAGTCCCCATTGCATTCCTTGAATGTACATCTCGATAGCTGAAGCCTCTGACAATCGGTCCTTGCAATTCAGGCTTAAATTCCTCCAACGGTTAATATAGTCAATGACGGCCTCTTCTTTCCACTGGCGAGAGTTTGTGAGCTCGATCATGCTCACTGTTCTTCGGGTGCTGTAGAAGCGATTCAAAAATTCTTGTTCCATCTGACTCCAACTGTCAATTAAGTTCGGTTCTAGGTTTGTATACCAATCGAAAGCATTCCCCTTCAATGATCGGACGAATTGTTTAACGAGATAGTCTCCGAAAGTCCCGGCGTTGTTACAAGTTTCAACAAAGTGTGCCACATGCTGTTTTGGGTTACCCTTGCCATCAAATTGCTGAAATTTCGGGGGTTAGTAACCAATTGGCATCTTCAAGTCGTCTACTCTTAGAGTGTATGGCTTGGTATATGTTGACGACGGTTTTGAACCCTCATTGAATTTGTCTTTGATAGTCCGCATGATGAACTCCTTCAATTGGTCTATAGGAATCAACCCCTCTGACGAAATCTGGAATTCTTCAGCCGGGCTCTTCTCCCTTTCGATTGGATGTCGCCTTGCAGAAGTTTCAGCTTCGGTGTGATTTTCGCCTTGTTTACCCATGTCGTGACTACCGTCAACCTTGTTTCGCAACATCGCAATTTGGGAGTCTTGTTCTTGAATGTGTTTTGTTAGCCCTTCAATGGCCTTGGTCAAGATCGCCATCTGCTCCTCCATGGTCGTAGCATGTGTCGTCATGACGGGAGCCACCTCAGAGTAGTTTGATGCTGAAAGGGACGTGGATGATGAAGTTTCTCCTCTAGATCCTTCCACGCCTCCACCTATGTTGACGAGAGGCGACAAGCCTTTTTTGATAATTTGGGGCGTTGAACTAGTCTCGGAGGATGTCTGCAACTTCTTAGCCATACTCATTGTAACTACGCCCATGCTTGATGAATTTGAAGTAGCAGCCTTCATCGTGAACGTAGAACAGCTACTAGGATCTTCGAGAGAGAGAAGAGATGAGAGGTAGAGAGGTCCCACCGGGCGTGCCAAAATTTGTAACAACAAATTCTTATCTGCGATATAAACAAACAAGAAAAATTGAACAAAGATGATTTTATTGAATTAAAATAAATAAATTGCGGGCTACAATCTCTATTTTAATCCTCTGATTCTTCTCTCTAGAACAATATATAGTTGACTTGAATTTTCGGAGTCGGGTCGTTGACTTGATCTTCTCCGGATTTGATTTTGGATTTGAATAACGTTTTCCGAGGGTCTTGCGACTTGAATCTCGGATCGAACGTTGAACTTTGACTTGATTTGACTTGAAGATCTTGAAATTCTTGATGGATTTGGCCCTTCAATCTTCCAGTGACCTTGACTTGAATTGATTAACGTTAATCCGAAGGTTTGGCACCGTTATCTCGGATCGAATGCTGGATTTGATGAAGAATGCCTTGAATTTGCTCAAGAACGCCTCGAATATGACGAAGAACACTTTGAATGTAGAGAGAGAATCTTACCTCCTACGAATTCTTCTTCCTTGCTTCTTGAATTGTAGAGAGAATTTTGCTCCTACGGTTTCTGCTCCTTCAATTGTGTTCGAATTGTGAAGGGAGGGTCCCTATTTATAGTTGTAGAACAAGAGTCCTTGATGGGCCTTCTTGATGATGTGGCACGATTTGATTGGCCCGATTTAAATTGATATTTATCTCTTGTAACTTGGAAGAGAAGAAATAATCCGATTGGCCAATAATTAATTGATATTTATTTCTTATAACTTGGAAAAGAAGAAATAATTATATTCGCCAATATATATTAAAATCAATTATCTATTTAAATTAAGAATTTATTTAATAATTAAATTCTTAATATTAAAATAGAAAACATATAATTGATATTTAATATATATAATATACATATGATTTTTGCGCATTGATATATAAATGACTTTGAATGCCGGCTCTATGGAAATTAGCAATTTAACTGCTTGAAAATTTGTTCGTCTACACACCTGCACTTTTTCCATCTTTAATCATTGTCTCTCGTTTTTTTTTTTTAAGATTTACATCTACGAGACGTCGAGAACAACGATATATTAGAAAAATCAATTTCACGATTTTTTCTAGGATTACAGTATTTGTTTTGCATAAACATGGAGAGAATTTTTTGTTTCTAGAAGAGATTCAACGATCGAGATAATCACGGCCCTATTTTTGCTAGATGGGTTCACAGAAAATAAATTTGCTATTTATTGATTTAAGATTAAAAATTTCCTATTTTATTTAACGGTATATTGGCCATAATTAATTGTAGGGGGTTCTAGCAAAATTGGACTTATGAGTTGGGTTAATACTTATAGAATCTAGTAATGGGGGGTCTATAAAAAATTATCCCTAAATAAAAAACAAAATCAACTAAATAAATATAAGGGTAAATTACAATCACCCTTAGGTAGGGTCAATTAACGAAAAAAAAAAACCTTTTGTTTGGTTTATTACATCTACCCTTGAACTATGATTTTTTCTTATACCTCCACCCTTATTATCAAATTCAACATAATCATCTAGATTTCGTGGAATGTGCTCTAATTTGTACTCGTTTTGTGTAAAAATACGGTTTCTGATGCACCACAATCTGATATATACAAGCCAAAAAACACATTATGATCATCTTGCTTCAAAATGTGGAGTTCGGATAGGATAAACCGGGTGCAAAAGTGATAATATTTCATATAATCTCGACGATTCCACTAACTTTGAAACTGCAAGGGTGAACGTATAAGAAAATTTATAGTTGAGGGGTGGTTGTAATTATCCAAACAAGAGGTTATTATTTTATTTTTATTTCTTTTTAATTTGATTATACCTCAGAGATGATTGTACTTTACCCTAAATATAAATATAAATAATTCGGAAAAAAAGAAAGAAAGAAGGGGAATTAATACGGGTAGGCTAACTAAAGGATGGTGAGATTTACTGGAGGAGCCACTTTGTTTCTGAGTTGCTTTACAACACGAGTCCTTAGATACTTTTCCTTCGCCTCGACCTCTTCCTTAAACAATAAAGCGGGACGAATAACATTGCGCGTGTCGACCACAATTTTCTCGAGCAAAACAGAATTCTCCAAGAAATGCATTATCATTTCGAGATCGCTTATACGACCATTATATCCAACAAACTCCATCTCCTTTAGGTGAACATATTTACTTTTCGTAACCTTTTCTACCTTCCTCTCGACAACCTCCGGTGCCCACCAATTAGTCTACAAAACAAGAAGCACAATTCAAGAATTTCGTCCTTGCAAAATTAGGATAATATATCGCTCAAGTGTTCATATTACATTAAAGAAAAATAAAAAAAATATTTCATAGAAACCGTCTTGTCTGTAAGAGAACAAGATCGAAAAGATATAAAACCAAAAAGCAGGCATATATAGCAAACATGCAAGAAAATTCAGTTTTCGACAAAATTATCCAACAATTTTAAGTAGACCCCATTAGGTGGCCTCGCCTTTTAGCTTCGATAGAGGTATCTCAATTCCATCAGACTGATCGATCAAGAGAGATAACAGATAACACAACTCTAAAACATATATGAATCGAAAAGTAATCGATAGATTACCTCTAGTACAAATCTTCGCAAGCAAGGGGATGAACGTATCAAATTCGTTAGCGGTAGGAGAGAACAGTCTTTATATGCATCAACTTTCACAACAAATTTCTTAAGATTCCTCATTTTCACAGCCGAACGGAACATTTCAGTTTCCTAATGGGTAAAAAGTGAACGAAAAAAGAAAGAGAATATCAAGAAATGCCATCGTCGGAGTTATGAGGCTGAATAAATTAAAGTCAAAGAGCATCTTAAACTTACTTCCCAATAAACCTGATTCTTTAGAAAATCGATTGTAAGTATCTCCAACCGCGTTTGATGACTAGAAATCAGGGAAACGACATCTTCCATATGCTTGGTAATTATACCTCCAATAAACATCTCGACGAGGTGAGGAACATTCTCGAGAAGAAAATTTATCCTTGGCCCTTCGTACTTGAAACAAACAAGATTCGAATCACGAATCTCGACCAGCTCCAAATTGTGACACAAGCTTATTTCCAAGCTTTTCAACGAACGAGACGAGCCGGAGATAATACGTAGGCTGGAAAGTTGTCCCGATTCAGAAACCGACAAGTTCTCGAGGAGAGGGCAGTTGCATAAGAAGAACTCCAAAGCTTCACCGCTCACATTCACACAATTCATACAAATACTTTTCAGGCAATCGATAGCGATTGGATTTTCCACGCGTTTAAGAAGTTTGTACGGAAAATCATAATACTTATCATATCCGCGCCGCCCGTAAAACTCGTCTGTTAAGTTCAACTCAAGCCTCTGAATCTTCCTAGCTAAAGCATATCGAATCCATTTTCCGATGGAATCTTTGTAAGATTTATCTAAATCAAAGAACACCCTGAATTCCTCGACAGTGGAGTTGTTATGCAGTGCTAGAACGTGATCGACCCATTCGACATATGCCGATCTTTCCTTATTGAGTAATGACTTTGTACACCCTTTCGACGACACCTTCAATAGCGATTCTCCACCATCGAAATCTAGTTTAGGTACGAACGTCCATAAGTATCTCCATCGAGAAGAAAGTACACTAGTGGCAATTGCTTCCTTAAAGGTCAACAAGGACAGTATATTCACCAATAAATCATCCGGAAGCGCACCGATTCGATCGATTGAACTATGTTTATCGAGTCCCTGGAAATAAAACGAAAACTTAACATCATTTACGACATAATAATTATCATTTACATTGCCTTTTTCTATGCTAAGCAACACAATCAATTAGCATTTCTATTTGATGACAACTCTGATCAAATAACACATGCCACAAAAGGAAATCTAATCCGAAACCAAAACCGAAACCGAAACCGAAAACTACGAAAATCAGAATAAAGAATTTAACCTTGTTGTCCTTTTCTGAACAGGAAGATCTCCACCTCTTCGCCATTATTATACACTACGATGTCGGAATTTTGGAAGCAGAAAAAACTAGGTTATATTCTGATTGGTAGAACAGAAACATCAGAAATTCAGATTAACTCTTTAGTGCGGAGTGGCAACAAACACATAGAAAAACAATTCTAGCATCCGTATATTTAAAGTTTAACTGGTTTTTTATATAATATTTTGGTAATTTAAATTTCACAATTAATTATTTTAATATTGTTCTATTATTTTTTTTGATATAATTTAATTATCATATATTTAAAGTTTCATTCATTTTTGCAGCGCGGGAGAATTGCTAGTATATTTGTGTTTGAAAAATATATTTTCTTCAAAGAAAATTGATTTATTGCTACAAAAAAAAAATACTAAATTTAGGATTTGTTATGATTGATTTCAAATCATTCAATCCAAATTCACATTAAATCCAACAATGAAGATTCATCAACACACACACACACAACATAATTCTCAACTGTGTTGAATTCTCCGTCTAACAATTACAAAGTTTAATCAGGCTTTTCTATAACAAAAAATAGACGAAAAAAGTTTAATCGGCCTTCCAAATGACAACAGTAGACTATCCTTTTTCGCGCAATTCAGAATATCGAGCATTAGTGGGGTAAAATTAGAAGATTTAATAAATCTATCTGATTGTGCCTTCACTAATCGACGAAACCTTACAGACACCAGCTGAGGTTGTAAACGGCAAATCTTTGTAGCACGCCACTAACTCCTTATCAGTAAGCAAATCGACCTGAAGCGTTTCCCAAACCTTCTTTTTCGGGTTCAGAACATCGTCGGGCAATCCCTCAAACCCTTGGAATGTCACTCTTTCACCGACCACAGCTCCTTGTGGAGGTTCGACCAACTCGACCTAACAAAGTAAAAATCCATTATTAAACAATTTAATTTTCATCCTTTCATGCCTTTACCCCACCATGATAATACGCAATATAGTTTATCAGTGTAGAAGCTTGTTCGAGAAAATCGTGTCGAGAAGTTGCTTTAGGTTTTATGAAGGAAAAAACAAAACATTGTCGGACTTTTTTCACGAGTTTATTGCAATTAGTACTACTGTGTTATATCAAAGTGTTAAAGAAACTACCCCATGTTGTGCTATTAGAAAGAACCCCCTATGATTTATTTTTTTTAGCAGGTAGTACCCGTGTTTAGGGGGTTTTGTGCTAAAAAAATTGAATCATGGGGGGTTTGGACAATAAAATAACATGGGGTGGTTTTTAGCAATTCAATATAACACAGGGGTACTAACTGAAATTGTTAAAAAAAAATACCCCATGTTATTTTATTAGAAAAAATCCCCCTGTGATTTAACGTTTGGTTAGCATTTAGTACCCGTGTTTAGGGGTTTCGTGCTAAAAAAAATGAATCAGGGGGTGTTTTGTCAATAAAATAACATGGGGTGGTTTTTTAGCAATTCGATATAAGACAGGGGTACTAATTGCAATAAACCCCTTTTTTCACTTCAACCAATATGCAGAGAGACAGTGTAGAGACCGACAACTTAGTTGCTTACCTTAGTGTGATCGTTGTTAGAAGCTGCAAGGACCATTGCTTGAGACTTGATGCCCCTCATTGCTGCTGGCTTCAGATTACAGAGCACACACACTTTCCGATTCTAATGCAGAGAAAAAAATTGTCGAGTGTTTAGTGCAATATCTAAGGTGTTTTGTGTAATCAATTGCAGCAGTATATATAAATAAAACACGCATAAATAAATCTGCAAAAAAAGTTGAGGGGAAAACCTGCATCTCTTCGAGGGGTATATACTTGACGAGGCCACTGACAACTGTGCGAGGCTGTGCTTCACCGACATCAATCTCCTCGACGTATAAAGAATCAGCATCTGGATGTTTCTGAGCCTTTGTAATGAGACCGACTCGAATATCTAATCGACTAATAGATATTTCAGCTTCAGCTGGAGCTGAAACCTTCGTCTTTGTCTCGGCAGATTTTTTTGCCTTCTCCTTCTTCGCCTTCTTACCATCTTTAAAATAATAAAAATACAGTATGGTGAGCAAAACATGTAGCCGGAGCAGAGTTTTTGTATTAAGTGAGCAAAACCTAATCAAAACCAAGTTGATATTTCTCACATATACCATATATTGAACACACAAATTACACACATGGAGAGGTAACTTATCTGCCGAACTGAGCCACAACCAAGAAAGCAAACAACTTGTCGATATACCAAATTACATGTCTACCAAGATTCAATTGCTAAAACATTCTTCTGTTATTTTAGTTAGCAGACATCCCATTGTAATGATTGTCCGACAGTGTAACTAAATATCGCAATTTGCAAAATGTATTCTGCATTTTTTAGTTTAAAAAATAACAGAAATACCATCAAAAGCCTTAAATATGAATTCATCCTATCTCATTCATCTTCCTAAAATCTCGTGGTTGAATTCCACTTATTTCCGTACGGGAGTTGTTGGTCAACAACATAGTCCCACACTCCCACTGGGCGGACATACTGGTCATATATATAACATTTTCCAAATTAATTACCTGCCATATGCTGAAGTGGATCTAATAACCAGATAAGTAATATACTAGTTTTACAGAAAGCAACGGGAACTAATCTAATTGCTGCTTCAAAAATTACCAGATTATTCAACAAATTCAGCAGATGCAAAGCTGTTGAAGGGCCTGAGCGAAGCTAATAGCTCACAGTAAGATCTAACACAATACTAGAACACCAGAGAACGACGAAAAAAAGATTCGTTTCAACGAAAACACAATGTTTATTAACTCCAGAATAACAAGTTTAATACCAGTGATCTCATTTGGTATGGCAACGAAGGTTACAGATCACAAGAATTGTTCGCACAATATGTTAATGAAAGAGAGGAAAAAAGTCGAACCTGATATTTCTACTTCCTGAAGTTTATCAGTCAGTTTCTTTGCAGCAGCATCAGCCTTCACTTTCCGATCAGCTTGACTTCCAGCAAATTTCTCTCTATAGAACGCTACTTCCTCATCTTTCTGCAAAATTATTAAGAGCATCGTTACAAGTAGAAAATCAACACCACACGGGATCGATTGATTCCAGAATGTTTTTAAACTGATAACACATCAAATAGAAAAATGTAGAATACCAGTTCTCTGAACAATGGTGCTGGAGTTCCAATTTTATGACCAGCAGGTAGGATCTCCCAAGGTCTTTTAGCTCTTTCGACCTCACCTTTGTCGTCAGAAAGTGAAAATTGTGTTTCGGCTGGCAAGTTCAGCTGCTTAAGTACCTACATGGAATTAAAAACAAACAATCATAACAATAACCATAATGCCATTGATATCAAAATGACGCACTCGCTACTCGTAAATTACCTCGAGTGAGAAAGATGGCATAAAAGGTTCCAAGAGGCATGCGAGAAGATATACTAATCCAGCTGAAGTTTTCATGACAACAGCACAAGAAGGTGGGTCCTCCCTGTAAAGCTTCCAGAATTGGCTTTCCTACATCATAGAATTGAACATAATAAGTCTCAATCTTCAATAAACCTTAGCATAGTAAACAAATAGTGCTTTGTAGGAAGATGAAATCTGCATAATTGGAATTCGTACTTGCAGATAAGCATTTCCTTCACCAGATATAGCCATAGCAATCTTCAAACCTTGCTTTAGTTTCACCTACATTAAATGCCATTTGGAATGTTATCGAGGTGGGACGAGGGTCATTGTATTCCAAGAACAAAAAAAATAATTATGCATTGGTTACCTTTTCCATTGCTTCTACATACTGTTCAACATAGTTACCAATTTTATCACCCAAGGCTTTCGTTAATGGATGAGAATCTACAAACTCAGCTTCGGGAATGATGGAACCATATCCTGTAGCTACATTGTCAAAGAGAAACAATAAGGATCTTTTTGATACTGCAAGTCATTAAGAATGGGTGTCACCCACAAATGAAAAGGTGTAAACTAGAAACTTTCGTATGCGTATCCTCAAGGAAATAAACAAATTAAGATTGAAGCAGTTATCATGTTCCTTAAACGGATTAAATGCACCCTCGTGTGTTTTTTTCCTACAGAAAATATGCCTTACTTGTAAGATACCTGTTGAGATGGATGATCGAAAGATATTTAAATGCTTACAAATTTTATTTTTTTCTTATTTTTTTAAAAAAACAGAAAAAAACTCTGTTTATAAGTACAAAACAAAACACCCGTCCCCGAACATTCCCACTTTTTTGGCTGCTTCAGCTCTTCATACCTTTTTCCCACAGAGCCCAGACTTTATTATTTATGTAGTTTTCAATGAAAATAAATTTGGGGGTAAAAGAATAATACTCGCAATTAGATCGGGCTGGATGTTATTGGTTTTTATATATAGATTTGGACAGAAGTCATTCATCCAAAAGAATCCTACGACTAAATGAATGTTAAGACATCGGGTAGAATCCACAAACCAAATAAGACTCGCCTTAACAAATTGAAGTCTTAAAACAATTACTTAAAAATAAAAAAATTAAATAAAGAGTAAACCCATTACAACACAAATTACACTCACCTGGGTCTTTGGCAATGAAACTCAAGACTCGGTTGATGAAGTTTCCTAGATTGCTCAGCAGCTCACTGTTCAACTTTGCTTGCAGATCAGGCCATGTGAATAATGTGTCTGATACCTAATATAGTGAATTAATAAAGTAATCAGTAGATATAGTGATTCAAGGGCTACAACATTAAAATGAAGTGCATTACAAAGAGCTTACCTCCGGCCTATTTGTCAGCAAATAGTATCTCCAAACCTCCACAGGAATATTTGTGTCTTTCGCGTCATTTCCGAACACTCCTACACCCTTAGTCTTGGAGAATTTCCCTAAAAAAATCAAAACCATGGAAACATTTCGATTAGGGAAAATCAATTCGGAAGTACGAAAGAGAGGTGTCTCACAGTTTCAAGGAATTAATAATAATATCTCTGCTACTGCATATATAACCTGATTCATAGTTCAAGTACTCTGTAACACTGATTGTTTTCATCAAAGTCCAGCTTTCACCTGTCCCAAGAAGAGTCGACGGGAACATCACCTGCAAATTTTATAGACCATTACGAAATAGAAAGATCAAAACATATACAAAGGTCCAATGCTATTGATAAAACTTGTCGAGAAAGGATGAACACAAGTGCTTACGGTATGAAAAGGCACATTATCCTTGCCCATAAATTGGTACAGTTCCACATCTTCAGGATTCTTCCACCACTTCTCCCATTCTTTCGTGTGGCATGAAGTGATCGAGACATACCCAATAGGTGCATCAAACCATACATAAAACACCTAACCATCAAATTGCAAACAGAACATGTTATTTTAAGGAAAACCAACACCCAAAAAAGTAATCAGCATATCAATATACAAATGACCATTTAATAACTAATTCCAAGCAACAAAATAAATTCACCTTTTCCTTAAAATTCTCATGTGGAACAGGAACTCCCCATTTCAAATCTCGTGTGATGCATCGTGGTTTAAGCCCTTCTCTAAGCCAAGCGTTTGTTGTTTGAATAGCATTCTGACTCCACCCTCCAGACACTGACGTGGTGCTGATATATTCTTCTAACTTATCCTTTAGCAGAGGAAGTTCAAGAAACAGGTGGTTTGTATCACGTATGCGTGGAGTCTTCCGACAGAACTGTTCGTTAAGCATAACCATAGTTTAGACACAATCCTTAAAACTCATTTAAATGTGAATCTACATATTCTGGTTAAAAGGTCTGTTTTGTTTTTATGTGTAAACCTCTCAGTATTTCTACGGACAGCACTCACCTTGCATTTTGGTTCAAGTAGTTCTGTGGGATTTAAAAGCTTTCCGCACTTCTCACACTGATCTCCACGCGCAGAATCATAATTACAACCAGGTGTTGGACAATTACCATCCACAAGCCGATCAGCCAAGAATTTATCACATGTATCGCAGTAGAGCTGCACAAAATAATTAATTAATAAGCTTCAATATGATGCCAAAACGATGTGCAGGCAAACACAACTTATCTCTAATTGAAGTGATGGAATATTAGTTAAGGAGTAATACTGAACCTGCTGCATTGTGTTTTCTGAAAGCCAATTATTATCCAATAGCTTCTTAAAAATGTCTTGACAAACTTCAGTCTGCTGCGGACTTGAGGTGCGCCCAAACTCGTCGAAGCTTATATTGAACCACTTATACACCTCTTTATGAATAGCATGATATCTGAAAATAACGAAAATCGAAGACCAGACAAATTTCAGTACGGGTCTATAACACATTCCGTTCTCGGATCAAACTGAATAGGGTTTCAGATACCGATGCAGTCATTAACTCCAAAATGATGGTACTCAAACTCAACTTTATATGTAATGATATAAAACCCGAACGAGAAACAAATGGCAAGTTAATTGTACCACCATACCTATGCTTACGTCTAGCAGAAGTGCCCACACAAGTTCAAAAATGTTTTTCATTTCCAAAAAATACGAATAAAAATTCCATGAAAACGAAGCCATAGTGCTAACGACTAAATATATTTAACCGAATCGAAACTTAGAGAAAATATAAGTGCGTCTAGCAGAAGTGCCCATACAAGTTCAAAACGATTTTCATATCCAAAAAATACGAATAAAAATTCCATGAAAACGAACCCATAGAGCTAACGACTAAATACATTTAACCGAATCGAAACTTAGAGAAAATACAAGTGCTGATACATTTACAAAAAGGAAGCAAATTACTTGTCGCAAATTTCCTTAGGAGAGCACCCTTCCTCGAGTGCCTTAGTCTCGGTGGCGGTTCCGTATTCATCCGTTCCGCATATATAGATAGCGTTATACCCTCTCAGCCGGCAGTACCTCGCGAATACATCAGCACTCAGCACACCTATTCAAAACAAATCAAACCTACATCACACACATAAAACGCAAATGAATTGCACACACTACCAATTACGCTAGCGATAATACACACAATTTGCCCTCAGTCCTAAACATGCAAATCAAAATTAATTCATAAACATATGGAGGAGAAGGAGGAGGAGGAATTTACATCCGATGATGTTTCCGAGATGAGGAATGTTGTTGACGTATGGCAAGGCGCTCGTGATGAGGATGTTCCGCTTCCCTGGAATCGGAAGCTTAGCTGAGGTGGCGGCGGCGGCGGCCGCGGCGGCGCTGCAATCGCCCATCTCCAAATATCCAAATTACTTTGGCAGAAATTAAACACAAAATTCTCAAACTCTGAGAATCTACAGAAACTCAAAAAAATCTACAAACGAACACAGAAATGAGAAAACCTCGAATCGGAATAGATGATACAGCAAAATACACTAAGGTTGCCCTTGTTTACGTAAGAGAGATAAAATTGGGGTAGGCTGAATTTTGTGGGCTTTTTTGTACGAGATTAAAATTGGATCAGAATTAGGTTATTGGGCTTTGTAACATTAAAATTGGATCCGGATTAGGTTATTGGCCTTTATAAAATTAAAATTGGATCCGGATTAGGTTATTGGGATTTATAAGAGATTAAAATTGGATCAGGATTAGGCTATTGGGCTTATAAGAGATTAAAATTGGATCCGGATTAAGTTATTTATATTTGTATTTAAGAAAATATTTCCTTCAAAATTGCATGGGAACAAGTTAATTATAAAATTATTTAAATGCATTTGGACGTAATTTAATTTAATTATCTATTAAAATTAAATGTTTTCCTTGGATCGCACAAGTGTAATTGCTGAATTTCAAACTTTGATTTAATTTAATTATATTTTTAAGAGATTAATGCGGGATATAAGACAATTTTGATGGGCTAAGCCCATTATTATTGGGCCAATCTCAATCCATTTACTATGAATTAAAAATCCAAGAAAGCTTAAAACAAACCACACTCGGCCGACGGCTGTTACAGACTGAGGCGGCGCTCGGCTGCAGGTAGAATCATGTTTAAGTAATTTTTTATATGTATGTTTTGAATATTTATAAATAATATTCGAAAATATATTACACTGAATCTGAAAATCAGTTTATTTCAAGTATATATTCAATTAATCACCGTGCACTGAGTTATCGTGTGACAGTCCATAACCGTCTCGAACTTGACGTTTTTTAGAATCTTGATGTAAATAGAACTATAGAAGTGAACAAGGAAGACCAATTTTTCTTTTGGCTCCATTGATTGAGGCAAAATCTTATCAATATGATGAATTCATGGGTAACAAAATTGACCTCATCCCACTAAATTATGCACAAAAATCAGGGGAATTTGTAATTGTTTTTTAATTTTTTGGGGGAAAAGAGTGTAATTAATTGGATACAAAGAAAATTGGATATATATAATGGGGAATTGATGTGAGTATACGTTACCCATGCATGTGCAGATGGGCTCAAAAAATTGACCTAAATTAAAATAAAAATTAAAAAATAAATAAATAAAAAAGGCATAGCACATGCATTATGGATATAATTTTGATTAAGTGGATGAAGAGGTTTCTAGGTCACAATCCAATTAGGCACTATTCATTTCAAGAAAGAAAGCAACTCTCTACTAAACATAGGGCTCGTGGCTAAGTACTTTTTTAACTCATATACTCCTTCACATTCATTGTGGGAGCAATAATTTTGTTTGTGTGTGTGTGTGTGTGTGTGTGTGAGAGAGAGAGAGAGAGAGAGAGAGAGAGAGAGAGAGAGAGAGAGAGAGAGAGAGACTATAATTAATAAAAAAATTGAAAAAATTAGGAAATTAGTAGGGATGAAGAAAAAACCACATATTAGATGAAACATTTGTAATGGAAAATATATATAATATTTATAATATTTATAGCGATCAAATCTACCATATACAGACGCATCGTCTCTTATAAGTGATAAGTTGGCCGTTCGAAGTTCGAGTTATGTAACAGATGGTGCAGCCAGAAACAACTTTCTAGTTAGGAGTCGAGATTTTAAGACTGTCATGCAATGATATTCTAAAAAGCTAATCTTATGAAAGATTTTATAACCACACATCATACCTTATATTATGTGACATAAATACTAATTATAACCGATAAATATGAAAATATTATTTAATTTCAATATTTAGGAAAAAAAAAATATAAAAACTTATTTAAATCCACTTGTCATCTACCCTTGATGAAAGGCTAACCATTGGTTCAAATTGGCAAAGACAAATAGTGGGAGCAAAATCCCCATGTGCTAAAGTAGCTTTCAAAAGGAATAAGTTGGCACTAGTAGTCTCTTAGGGCCACGTGTCGGTATTATCAAGGGGACACGTGGCGCAACAAGATGTGATGCTTTTTGGGTAGATTGAATGTCATTTGTTGCGGCGATGTTTGCGGGCTAAAGAAATTAATATTATTGCAATTTAATTTTATAAATTTGAAAATAAAAAAATAAAAAAAATAAAATTGAATGGGAAAGTAGAGCGACTTTGAAAGTAATGAAGTTTGATTTTTGGAGCCAAAACATGTGCTGCTGCCTGCTGTCGTTGCCAAAATTTGGGTCCTAAATTGCCTCATCGTCATCATTTATTAATCAATTAGTCACATCTTCAAATTAAATAAAACATAATTAAAAATTAATCTTAAATTATATTATATTATATATAAGGACAAATTACGGTCACCCATGAGGTATGACCAAATTACAAAAATAAATTCTATTGTTTGAGTAATTACAGCCACTCACCTGCTTTTAAATATTTTTATATAAAAATTATGTAATTCGGTTATTTATCGAACCAAATCGTATATTCAGTTCGGTAAACGGTATGAAATGTTTACCGAAATTGCGGTTCGTTTTTACCGATTTAACATCCTTAAATTTACCTTTGGAGCAATTTTTTCGTAAGAAAATATATAATTGAGGGGGAGAATGTAATTACCCAAATAAGAGGGATTTTTCGTAATTTGACCATAACTCAGGGGTGGCTGTAATTTGCCCTAAATTAAATTACTTGTAAGGAACATGATGAATATATGGCGTTTCACTTTTAATAATACCGTTTTGACTTCAAACATGATTTTGACAATTTTTTGTCTAAATTTGGGAAAACTCATAACACAAGATTTGTAGTTTTTTGAGTTAGTTTTTCTAATCCAACTTGAATCGCTAAGATTGAATATCGGATGAGAACGATATTCATGAATTAATGAACATTGCTTACAACTTTAATTTTTTGAGTAATGTAAAATTCAAAATGAAACTGCTTCATCCATAACTTTATCATCCAACATCCAATTGAGTTGATTCAAATTGGATTAGAAAGCTAAATAGCAGGACAACAATTGTCGTGTTCTGAATTTTGCCAAATTAAACTAGAAAACGATCGAAATCACATTTGAAGTCAAACACAATAATAGTAAATCCCTAACAAAATTTAATAATAATAATAATAATAATAATAATAATAATAATAATTATTATTATTATTATTATTATTATTATTATTATTATTATTATTATTATTATTATTATTATTATTATTATTATTATTATTATTATTATTATTATTTTTTTTTTTTTTTTTTTTTATTATTATTTTTTTTTTTTGTTGATTGAGTTGAAATGCAAGAGTTGAATTATCTACCAAATCATGGGTTTGACTTTGCCTTTTTTAAATGTCGGGTGTTCTAAGTCAATTTGAGATATGGTTAATTATATATACTCATACGTATATTGTGTAATAAATTAATAATAATTGTGTATACATCTATTCTAATAATATGCTATCAAATTTATTATATATATATATATATATATATAGACATAAAAAAAATGAGTTTAAAAGTAATTTCTAAAACAAGAGAAAGCCGCAAATTAAACGTAACGATCATGCTGCAATAGTTGCAAAAGATTATGTTAAAAAAGAAAGATTTTGAGAATCAAAGAAGAAAACAAAAACATGCTTGTCAATTACTATTATTTAATATATTTATTTACTAATAATTACATTAAATTAATAACAAAGTTTAAAGAAGATGTCATCCCACAACCAAAATCTGTCGGTGGATCATATAGTAAATGAAACCAAATTTATATTTTTCCAAAAGAAAAGTAAATTAGTTGATTGGTGGTTCGAAATTTATAATGGTTTTAATTGCAATATTGCCATCATAAATAAGATAGGTTCGAGGGTGTAAGGTGCGAAATTTGTAGTTGTAAACTTTTATTATTTCAATTAGGTATTTTAATTTATTATATAAAAGTAATCAATTTGCTGTAAAAATATATATTATTTTGAAAAATAATTATTTTTGCATGTGAGACGTGTGACGTTTATTACAAGTGCACTCATACATGCGTGATATATATTATCACCCAAAAGTAGTAATGTTTCACAAGAATATTGGAAAGTTGTCAACTTGTATGATTTTTATGATTTTATCTCTATTTCAATTATTTTTCTATTTTTTCAGAAATTACGAAATGTCCCATAAGGTGTCTTCCGACAGGTGTTATCGAATTTCGGACACAAAACGTGTCCGAAACGTAGATACGTTAAGAAATTGAAGTTTTCGTATTAATCAATTTAAAACTAATGCATTTTTATACTTTCAAAACCATAATCGAATATTGATGATACAATACAATTATTATATTAAATTGTGAAAAATTCTTTAGTCCATATTAAAATTTATTTTATCTCGAATAAAAAATAAATTTTAAAACTTTTTAATGGTTAGTACTATATTTAAAATTTATATATATGCATGATGCCTATATATAAACTATATTTGTGTAGTGTTTGCACAAATGGAGTATAAGCCTACAAGATTTCTTTCAACATCAGTTTAATTGTAGGTGAGATTTCAAATCGCCACTAAAAATTAATTACTATTAGGAAAAAGAACTAAAAAATCAACACATACATACGAGTACTAAGTCCAAAAATTCACTTGTCACGTCTAGAGTATAAATAAGTTGAGCCGACTCGATAAAAGCTCGAACTCAAGCTCGAGCTTGACTCTCTTTAGTTGTTCATAAGCTCATGAGTCGGCTGGCGAACTTTATATATATACAAGTATTTTGACGGAGCCACCATTTGGCAAGGGTGGGCTCCAAACCCAATGTGAATTCCCAAAAATTATAGAATTAGCCCACTCAAATAATTTAATTTAGCCCATCCAAATAATTTAGATTAGCACACCCACCAAAAAAATTTGTTATGTTAATTAAAGTTTATAAATTTATAGTTATTATATGCTATATTATGCGAATGAATCAAATAAAAAATCAGGCGCGCTGCTCACGAACTCCTATATTAAGCCCATCGTATCTCGAATTTTTGCATCCGCCATCAAATACTAAGTTTATAAAACACAAGTTAGTCTCACCTTAAACTTGCTAACTTAACCTTTCAAAAAAGAAAAAGACATGATTTATATTATTATATTGATCTCAATTTCAAATTTAAAAAAATAAAATAAAATTGGGGTTCGGCTAAAAAATAAAATGATGGAATTAACTATTAAGAAACAGGCTTCAATTCCAAGATCACTTGTTAATAAAGCCATCATTTCTTGAGTGCTTATCTGCATGCGGTAGGTAGTGTGTTTTTTCAGAAATCTGTGATTTGTAAAGCAACAAAAATATTAAATTTTTTTTTATTATAAAATAAGTATGCATGCATATATTTTAATCGAGAGAAATAATGATTTTTCAAGGTTGCAATATAAATTCCTTTAATTGAAAATATATATTTCATTTAAAATAAAAAAAATATATAAGTTTCTTTATTTTAAGTTCATATGTCATATCGTGCGTATATCTCTATGTAAATAACACACCAAACATTCAAACAAAACGTACATATCAACTTTTGCAAGAATCATAAACGTATCTAGTAAATTTAAATAAAACATATAAATAAAAGGGAAAATTGCAGTTTGCCCCCTCAAAAAATATATTTTTTCGCACTTTCCCCCTCAAAATACAAAAACTAGACTATCCCCTTTAAAATATACAACTCGGTGCACTTTGCCCCAAATGTGTATTTTCAGTCAAATTCTTGCCAATTTGAGTAATTGGGAAGGGTTTAAGGCTATAAATGCCATTCGACCATTTTCCAATCCATATTACTGTTAGAGCTCTCTTTTCTCCCCCAAATTGAATCACCCATAAAAACCTAATCAATTGAATCGACAACCAATAACCATGTGTTCTACATCGATCTTTCGAACGATTACCCAAAGGTAACAAATTTGTCCATTCATTATTATAAAAGGGAATTGGAGTCGCGACAAATTAGGGCTAACTCTTCTCAGTCGATCTTTTTTCCGAGTTATTTGTCATTTATTCTGAATATCGCCATCATACCAAAGCTAGGAAGTGAGTTGTGTTAAATTTTGGAACCCTTAGTAACTAAGTAGTGAAAAGGGAAAATGACTTATACACCCTTAATAACGAAGTGGGAGAAGTAAAATGACTTATACACCCTTAATCCGACAGGAATTCAACCGGAAATGCAAATTTGTGGCAATATGCACCGAATTGTATATTTCAAAGGAGGACACTCTAGTTTTTGTATTTTGATGGGGGTGAGTGGAAAAATGACATTTTTTGAGGGAGCAAAGTGCAATTTGCCATAAATAAAATATTTAATTGCAACCAAATTTAATATCCAATAGTAGTGACATTGGACCACCATAACTGGGAAACTACCATAGGTGGTTGGGTGGGGGTGGGGGTGGTGGCTGGGG